ACCAGGGTGGTTCCACTTTCATTTGTCTTTCATATCAAGGTTCTGTGTTTAGACTCCTGCTAGAGGAAGTTAGCCATGGGCTCACGTAAGCCCACCCCACCCCACCCCACCCCACCAGAGGTTCTGTGAAACACTAAGCTGCAGGTGGCCTGGGTTTGGGACATCCCCTGTCCCCAGTGGGCGGGCTCAGAGTGCGGGAGGTCAGGTGACAGAGAGGCAAACCCTGTCTGGCTGCTCCCATCTCTCTTCACTGGTTGGCCTCATGGTCTGCAGAGAATTCCTCTGCCCCCACGGCTGCTCTTGTGCTGGGGCCACCACAAGTGGAGGTGGGAAACATGGAGAGAGAGGGTCCTGGGGACTGGCACCAGGCAAGGTATTGCCTGCCTTGTAAGCCCATGTGCTAGAAAAGTGGCTATAGTCCAGCCTGTGGAAAACCAGGAAACAAACTGTGTGGGAGAGAGAGAGAGAGAGAGAGAGAGAGAAAGGGAGCGAGGGAGGGAGGAGAGAAGCTAGAATTACTGTGTGGGTGGGTATGAAAGAGAAAGAGATGGGGAAGAGGAAGGAGGACAGAAAGTGGTTCAGTCTGTACGTAGGTGTTTGACGGTGGGTGTGCAAGAGTGGGTATGCCTACAGGAGAGAATGTGTGCATGCAGGAGAGATTTTAAAGTGTGGGTATGTGAGCAAAAGAAAATGGAGAGAAGAACATGCTTTTGACCTGTATCTGAGGAAAGGAATATGTGTACTGGTATGTTTTCAGGCGGGACTGTAGCTGTGTATGCAAATCTGATACATGTCACGTGTCACAGGTGAAAGGTAGGCATGCCTGAGTGAGGGGTGTGCGTGTGTGTGCTCATGTGTACCCCACGTGTGGATAGGTAGGTGTCTGAGGGCATGTACATGCATGCGTATGCAGATATGTGATTATATACACATGCGTATCTGCATAAGAACATGGTATGCATATGTCTGTGTATGCACCCATGGGGGTGTGAACATGTGTGTGGGTGCACGGGTGAGGTATATGTGACCCTGTGAGCCTTGCTTCTGCACCATTGCCCTCCTATTATGGTCACTATGGAGTATGGGATTGAGAGGGGGTGTGGATGGCATCCTGCCCAGCCTCCTGCTCTTTCTACCTTCTCTCGCACAAGCCTAAAGAGCAGGGATCCTGTCTTTGGCCCAGTAACCACTGTCAGCTCTTACCATGACTGGGGGTTCCTCTGCCTCGACCATAGAAACATGGTCGGGGCAAGGTGCATCTGACAAGCCAGATCCACACCTTCATCCCCACCTTAGAGGCTCAGAGCAGTGTCCATTCGAGTGGGAAAGGCCCCCAAGCCCTCTAGATGGCCTGGGCCCCCAATGACAAATGGCCTGGAGAGGGGGGAAGGCAGCTCTCCCAAAGCCACAGACGAAGGAGGGGCTGGATCAACAGTGGGTCCCAGGTCTCCCTAAGTGTATCCAAGGGGGAGGGAACGTGGCTTGGCAGAATCCCCCACCATCCTCCAGAGCCTGAACAACCTTTTTCCAGCCCTAGGTGGGTGGAAGAACACAGCCTGCTGCCTTGTTTCCATGGAGACAAGGCAGCACAGAAGGTGGTTGAAAGCATGGGCCTAGACCTCCTGGGGTTCAAATCTCTGCTCCTCCACCCACAGGCCTGAGACTCTGACAAGTCACTTAAAGTCATTGTGCCTTAGTTTCCTCATCTGTGAGGCAGAGATAAGAAAGGCGTGAACTTCCTAAGGGTGTTTAGAGGGTGAAATGAAGTGACCCATACAAAGCAATTAGCACAGCGTGTGGCAGCTGAACTGGGGGGGGGGGGCGGCAAAAGCCCTGGGTTCCAGCTCTAGCTTTGCACCAACTTACTGCGTGACCTGGGGCAAGTCTGTTACCATCTCCGGGCTTCAGAGTCTCCTCAGGATTATCTACACAATCATCTCCGTGAGCCCTGCCAGTGTTGACCAGCTGAGACTTTGCGGTGAGGACGGCGGCCGTAGCTCAGGGCTGTCTTGGTGAGCCGTGGACCAACTACCACCACGGCGGAAGCCCAGCTGTGAGCCTTACACACTTGCCTTCTCATATCTATTCTCTCACTTTGGCAGCAGCTGACGGCAGGAGACTTGAGCCGCAGGCTGCTACCCCCATCATCTCTCTGCACCCCCTGCTCCCCTAGCCTGCCAAGGACCCCGTTCTGCCCTGCCCAGCTGGTACTCGGGCTTTAGAGCAATGGCACCACGTACCCACCCACCCCAAGTGGTGGGTGCCCAAGGCCGAAGATGCCATGACCCATACTTAAAGCTGCCAGGGAGCACTCAAGGGAGGCAGGTATAATTGCGGAAGGATGGGCGTAATTGTCTGAAGATGCTTATATTATAATCCTTTGGCGGTACCGGGAGGAAGCTTTAAAAGGAAGCCCTAATCCACTAATAACCTGGCAGCCCCACAGGCCTCTTCCCTCCGGATCTCCAGGCAGAGAGAAGGGACTCTAGCCACTCCCTTTCCCGAGGGAGCAGAAAGGCCAGTGTGGGCTCTGACGCACGACCACCCGGATTTCTCCTCTCCTGCGAGACCCAGATTCCTTCCTGCTCGCACCCGTGAGAAGACTTCCCTGAGACATCCTCCTGAGGTCCCTCCTGCGCCCTCTGTCCCCAGAAACGGTCAGGACAGAACCGGAGACCATCTGACTGGACGTCAGAGAAAGAAATGAACGGGACTGTGAGGAAGAAGACCGTGATCATAGTCTCAGCTCCAACACTGACTGTGTGACTTTGGGCAAGGGACTTGGGTCTCTGAGCTCCAGCTGTGTCACCTGTCAAAGGGGCAGGGTGATACCTGCCTTGAAAGACTATACCTATACGGGAAGATCGACAAGAATGAGATAGTAAGAAATGACCTAGCTCTGTGTGAGAGGCCAACAGGATTCATTAAACGTGGCCCCTCTCCTCCCTTCACCCATGGTCTCTCCCACTCCAGGATGTCAGCAGACAGCACACTCCCCTTGTAAATCCAGAATACAGCGATGGCTAAGAACAAAGTCCCATATTCAAAAAACTCCGTGGTTGAATCATGGCATAGCGGCTTACTAGCCAGGAGTCTTAGATAAGTCACAAGGCACCTACGTTCTTTGAACCTCGACCTTCTCATCTGTGTAATGGAGATAATCATAGTATGTCCCTCATGGGGATTACTGTGAGGTTGCGTGAAGTGATGTATGTGAAGCTCTTAGCACAGTGGGCTTAGCACATAAGGGCTTAACAAATAGTAGCTGTTATACTGTGGAGTTGAGGATTATTTTAATTATTATTAACATCTGTCACGGGATCACCTAACATTTCCAAAACACTACCCCAGTCTAAGATCACTGAAACCTCATAATGGCTCTGTGAGGTAGAGAGGCCCCTGTTTTTGTTTTATTTTCACAAATGAAGAAATTGCAACTCTCTAAGGGGGAGCGATTTGCTGGGGTTTGGCTGGTTCGTATCAGGTCCAGAACCAGCACCCATGTCTCCTGACCCTCAGCCGTGGTCTGTAAGAGGAAAAGGAGGAGGTCCTGGGGCTTTCAGGCTCTAGGGGACCTGAGTTGGGGCTACTCTGGTGTGAGGGCCCACCTCCAAGTTTAGGGCTGCTGGGCGCTCCTGGGGTCCTCCTTCTTCTTGCCCTAGATGCATCGAAGACATCTCCTGGATCCCGCCCAGCTTTCTGTGTGACCCAAGCATGGGGGAGTTGGTGGGGTGTGGGGTGGGGATGGCCATGGGGGGTGATCAGAGCCTGGAGAAAATTATTTCAGAAAAGAGAGTGGGCGGGACGGCTGGTGCGATGCCAACCAGGGCGGTAGCAATGCCTGCAGAGAAATGAGGTGTTCCTTCAGCTTCCTGACGCATTAGCCCTCCCAGGCCTGTGTCCCCCACACGCCCTGTGCCCCCAGGATCTGCTGGCAGCAGCTGCCTTCTGAGCAAGCATGGCCTGGCTCACGTCCTCTCCATCTGGACCCACTTCAGTGTTTCCATGGGCCCAGGCAATGGAGGTGATTCAGTGCGGGTTTCCCTGTCCCGCCCTGCTCTGCTGGCTCCTGACTCCTGCAGCCTATAGGAAAATTATCTCCCTCCCTCCCTTCCTTCATCCCCCTCTTCCTTCATCCCCCTCTTCCTTCCTTCCTTCCTTCCTTCCTTCCTTCCTTCCTTCCTTCCTTCCTTCCTTCCTTCCTTCCTTCCTTCCTTCCTTCCTTCCTTCCTTCCTTCCCCTCTTCCTTCCCTACCCCTCTCCTGTCTTTCTTCCCTCCTTCTACGTTCCTTTTTTCCTTTGTTCCTTCTCTTTCTCCATTTGTTCATTCACTCTTTCCTTCCATCCAGTGAATACTGAGCTCTTCCCTATACACTGTCCTTGGGTCCTCACTTCAGCCCAGGTGACACGGGTCCTGCTTTTGTCATCTCTAACAGATGGGAAACTGGAGCCTGGGTGAGGAATGTGGGCCCAGCTCAGTCACCAATATGCCGAGAGACCTGGAGCAGTCTCTTCCTCACTCCGGGCCTCGGTTTTTCCATCTGTAAAATTAGGAGGTCAGCTTGGATCAAAGGCTTCAGTCTGTACCTCAGAAACCCCATGAGGGCAGCAACCACGTCTGCTTTGCCCGGTGCTGTGTCCCCAGCACCCTCAAGTAGCCGGCACACTCAATATGTTCAATGAGAGGCAGTCCTGCCCCTTCATTGCCTGGAATCCAAGGCCATTTGTTGCCACGAATGATTAAGGGCAGACAGAGTGAGGGATGGACTTTCGTGTAACCAAGCATGATATCAGGGCTTTCTTTCCGTGCCTTCTCCTGTGCCCCCCTTGGCAGAGAAAAGAGTGGGCATAGATGTGGCGCGGAATCCCAGTCTCCCCTGTCTCCCCACAGTCTGTGGGACTGTGACAGACTGTTATGGATCATGGGAAGATATGGTCAGGAGACCTGTGGGGTCCCCAGTGGGCTCTGGCAGTCCAGGGGAAAAGGGACGTGAGCTTACCTGGTTTCTGGGCAACCCTGGGCCCTGCGCTGGGGCTGGGGCCGGGGCTGGTTGTCATCACCAGCTGAGCCTTCACCGCGTTCCCGTCCTGGCCGGGCTTGTTATCATGCTGGGACCCCCCTTGTGCTTCTCTGGAGTGTCTGGGTGCCTGGATGCCCAGGGCCTTGGGCAGCTCTGGTGCCCCCTGGGTGGCCCTGCAGGCAGGGCTGTCCCCATTCCTGCTGGCCACCCTGTCCTCATCCAAGTTCGTGAGCCCTGCCTCTCCCTGAAGGCCCTCCTCACCGCTGCTCTCCTCAGCCTCCAAGGCCAGACACCTGTAGCTCCCATCAGGGATCCGGAAGGTGCAGGGAGTGGGCCTGTCTTCGCTGGGTCCCAGGGGGGTAGGTGGGAGGTGGGGACCCAGCATGGTGCTGCCTCTCCTTAGAGACGCACAGAAGTGGGGGCCAGGCCGGCCACCTGTCTTTGCTCCTCTCCAGGGGTCTCTTCTGGCTCTCTGCAGCTTTCTTTTCTTCAGCCAACTCACAGAGCTGCGGCAAGGTCCAACTGTGGGGCCCTCCTGGGCTGGGTCGGGTGGTGGACCCCCAAGCCCTCCTCTCAACCTGTGTCTGGTCTGTGAGGCTCTCCTTCAAGATGATCTATCTGCACGGGGAGAAAAGAAACAGCAGATGAGACCGTATGCTGGGTGTTCTGGGCTGAATTTCTGAGACTTGTCCACCTTAAGGTGGCCCTGAGAACTGGCTGGGGTTTGGAGGTACAGGTCTCACACACCCACAGCCAAGTCCCAAGCTTCAGTCATTCGACATCCCAGATGTTCACCATATCCTTATGCCACCGGACACTTTATTTGCTTACTGTTTTCCACAAATCAACTTTAAATAACTTAACTTCTATCACTTTAGACTTATCTTAAGCCATAATCGCAGGAAAACCACAAGTATGTCACGCTAAGTCATTTCCCCCCCAAGACCCATTAAATAAATATCTAGTTATTTAAAAATATTTAACTGGGCACCGCCTAGAAAACATTCTCTCACATGCCAGAAAAGGTACATACACCACAGGAATCACAGGAACCGTGGGGCGGAGGACCCAAGACTGGGGCCAGGGGGCCACAGAAGAGGCTGTGTGCACCAAGGGGGGACGGGGCAGCAGTGTGCTTGTGTGCCCAGACTTTGAGCTAGAACCCCAGCTCGGCCACCTGCCTAGCTGCCCTCTCTGAACCTCAGCTTCCCTGTCTGCAAAATAGGAACTGTACCATCCCCATGGAGGACTAAGTGAGAAAATACGTGCAGAGGACTCAGTATGGTTTTCGAGACGTGTTGGCTGTTCTTTGACTTCGCAAAAACGTCTTGAGCTTTTATTGCCAGACACCATACAATGGGGGATAAAGAAGATATGGTATTCTGATTTCTGAAGCCTTAAAATCTGGTGGGGGGAGTGGTGAATGATAACAAGAACCATAATAATAACAGTAGGATTATTTATAAATGTTAACAGTGATGATGGCTTCGGAGCGAGGGCATGTGGGATGCGGAGAGGGGTGCGTGGGAGAGGAACCTGGGCGGGGAGAACTGGCTGGGCTGGGAGGCAGATGGAGAGTGGGTGTGGAGGAAGAGGGAGGAGCCTAGGCGCAACCAGGTTTGTTGCTCTGGTGATGGGGGGGGGTGATTTCGTTAATAGAGATCGGGAGTCCATGTCCCAGGAAGGGCAGGTAGAGCTTAAGATGGCCAGTGGCCACGTACACTGGGAAGAAACCCTGGGATTTATAGATCTTGGTTAACAGATTCCACCTCCGCTTAGCGGTGTGAACTCGGGCAAGTGCGCACACTCCGAATCCCACTCGTCCTATTGCAAAATGGGGAGAGAAGAACCCCCCGCCTAACACACACATACACACACACTCGCAAACACACACACCCTGGCTGGCCCATGGATAGTGAGAACCCCGAGTTGTGAAAGTCTGGACACTGGTGACCTCGGGGCTTACACTGACCTTACCTGCTGTGGTACTTGACCTGGAGGTCATGCCTCCACCCC